CGCTGACGGCTAACACTTAGTAGGCATAAGTAAATGAATACATCTGTGTAGCTGTGTAAGGAAGCACCTTCTTCCTCAGGCAAGTTTCAGAATCTGAAGGTAAAGCTGGGAGGCTTTCCCAGGTGTAGGTTCCGGAAAAGTGGCCCAAAAGCCTCCTTGAAAGAGCTGACTGGGCGCTCAGCTAGCAGTGGTGGATCAGATGTGGCAGGAGTGCTGCAGAGAAACGTTTGAGCGGTTTTAAAATGCAAAACGATGGTTGTCTATTTAGGCACTTTGAACTTTCCTGCTTGACTAAAATGTGTTTAAAGAAAATTAAGGTACTAAAACAAATAGTTGTTTATTGGTTGTGAGTTCTTGCAGACGGAGGGAAGCTGAGCTCTCTCAGCTATACGTTCTGACGCCTTCCCTAGCTGTCATCTGAAGACAGAGTCACCAGCTTCCCCTGCCTGCTTGGGGAAAACTGAAAACCTTCTGAGAAAATTACACGGTTGCATTTGGCCACTATCCTGATGTTTTGAGTGTGCGGCTCTTAAATGTCGGCCAGTGGTGGGAGGTGTGAGGAGTGGAACCGTCTAGCTGGGTGGGCGGGGCGGCGCTGTCGCGTGGCGCCGCTGACTCTGGGTCTCGCTGCAGGTGCTGGGCGCAGGAGAATCAGGAGCAGGAGGAAAAGGACTCTGCAGCCAACCCCTACGACTACAGGAGGCTCCTGCGCAAGACCTCCCAGCGGCAGCGCCTCGTGCAGCAGGTGTAGTCCGGCAGTTCCGGAGGCCACCCCATGGGAATGTGCGCAGACTGCGGGGCTTTGCAGGGGCCAAAGCGGGAGACCCTCGGACGCTAGCGCCACAGGGAGCTGAAGCCGAGGCCCTGACCCTGGCACGGGCTGCCCGCTGCCCTCGCCCCTCGAGTGCCTGGCCCAACTCTTCGAAGGCGGAGAAGTGAGAGTTCTTCGGCCACCGTGTCCCCTCACTCCGGCACCCTCCACTCCCACCAGCCCGCCAGTCCGGGCATCCCAGTCCCTGGCCCCCCGTGTATCTCTTTGTTCACTCATTTGCAACTCCTGTGGACCCGACTGCGCCTGAGCTCTCGCCGATCCCTCCCCGTCGTTTTGCTTGACTTCACAAATTTCTTTTCCCTTGGAAACGGCTCTCCCAGGCCCTCGGGACACTCGAGGGGCGAGCAAAACAAAGCCCGGATGGGAGGAGAGGCGAGGGCGGGGGAAGCTTTGAAGATGGAACTTCATCTCACACTCGCGCTTTCTCTTCCCGCGGTTATTAAATAAAGGAAGTGCCTTGGAAAGTCCGTGGCTTTCGGGGCTGGTCCACAGATATTCCCCTTTAGGACTGGACAGCTCCCGTCCAGCTGCGCGGGTGCAGGTGCCCAGGCAGGGGGGCGGCGGTGCCTGTCTCCAGCGAACAGCCCCTGTCTCCAACCCTCCCAAACAAACATACCATCAACGTTAAAACCCAGGTCTTGCCACCCAAACTTGGCCTCCGGACGATCCCCCAAATCCCTCCACACTGCTCGTTGGCACACACACCTTTAGCCCCATTGCGCCAACTGTCAAGTTTTTTAGGTTCTCCTAGTCTGCAGATTTAAGGCAATCTCCTCGGCTCCGAATTTTGGTGTATTTAAGAGAGAGGGGAGGGCAACGGGTGGGCAGAGGTTTGCCTTCCCCAGTTGACTGCATCTCATTTTAAAACCTGGGTGAGCTCTTCTATGGCACTGACACCGTCCGTGTCTACGCTGTCTGAAGAGCGTCAGGAGGGATGGTGAGATGATTTCAGGAGGACAGAATTGGGAGATGGGTTTGGGGTATGGGGTATGTTGCACCTGCGGCCCAGAACCAGGAGACTTGGGGGAAATTTTTGGAGGATCGAGTGAGAGCGGGTGTTTGTTGCGCAGCTCGCCCACCAGATGTAAGGTACTCTCCAACCCAAAATGCTGAGGCCGAAAAGTCCCCCAAAAGATAACTCGGTCAGCCTCCTCACTTTACAGATGAGACCAGCTCCACGGAAAACCTCCCGCTGTGGCAGAGCAGAGCTCAGAGTTCAGGTGCACTGTAGGCCCTGCTCCTTCTCTAGGTTCTGGTTGCCGCCTCCACTCAGGAGTCAGCCCTTGGGGTGACAGCTGTTGTGACGGGCTGCAGGCTGGGCCTAACACAGGCACCAGTGAAACCAGCGCGGGCGCGCTGCCCACTGTCAAGGGGAGAGATTCTGGAACGCATCGTGAATCGAGTTCCCATGCCCCAACCCACGCATCCACCCGCCACCAGGAGGCCCTCTGGGGGGAAAAGCTGAGCTCCGCTGCTAGGCTACCAGGCCTCTTCAAGCTTCAAGGTGGCCCACAGTGGACCAGAGACCTGGAGCCCAGCCCTTCCGTCACTGGACTGGGAGGCAATAGATGCCCTCCCTAAACTCTCCACCCCCTTTTTCAGTGGAACTGAAAAAGAGAATCGCAAACACACAGTGAAAGGTTTCAGTGTTATTTCCCTTTTTTTTTTCTTTTGTATTTCTTTGTTTTTTCTCCTTCTTTTTCTCTCTTTCCATCTCCCTTTTTCTGTCCTTTGACATTTGGGCCCTGGGAAGACTCAAGGGAAAACTTGTAGCAGACATTCTTCTTTGGGAGACCTGTAGTGCGATCTCTGGATAACCCACGGACAAAAAAATAGGTCAACGCAGGAAACCTGCCCAGGAGAGCAGCACTGGGAGCTTGGGTCTCTCGCCCCCTGCTGAGAAAGAGGCTTCGAAAGCTTTTCCCCAGAGTGCTGCGCCCCCCTTCCCATTCTGTGGCTGCCTCCTTTGTGAACTAATGACTGTAATTATTACCTCGCTGAGCTCTTTTGTTATCTCCAGTGCCAAGCCCAGGAGTGGGGGGAGTGGGCTCCTTTACAAAATCAAAGTCTTTATGAAGCAAATTGCCGTCTAGGGAGGGACCACGTTAAGGGAAGACAAATCAGATCCCTGAGTGCAGTGAAGTAGGGTATGTTAAATAAAAAATCTAAATACCGCCATTAGACTCAAAGTACTCCAGAGCTGTGGGATTTAATCGAGTTTAAACAGTGGGATTTTATGCCGCGTTAAAAAAAAAAAAATTATGTTAAGTACAGGTGTTGTGGTTTCTACCTTCCCTGTGTTTTAATCCGTTTCTTCCTTCGGGGCTTTGTGAGTGTTTTAAAAGCTTGTTTTAAAGAATCTTTATGTCTTCGACCACTTATCCATTGCAGAGAAGTTCTGCAACCCCAGCGTTCTGGGTTGAAGCAAAACATTGCAGAATTTGGTGTGGATTTAAACAAAGAACCGATCTCTCCGACTGCTGGAGCGCGAGCCGCGCAGCTGCCCTGCCCGCGCGCAGACGGCTGAACCACGGAGTCTTTACACCCTGGCGTTGTAACCTGGGTCCTCTGAAGCCGAGAGCTCCGGAGAAGGTGGCCACACTGAGGCCTGGGTCCATGCCCATTAAGCGCCCACGGCCGGAGGCAGGCTTCCCGACACAGCCGGTTTTGCAACAAGTCTAACAGCAGGACCTTGGCCAGCGCCCTTCCCTGCCAACACTCGGGGGCAGGGGTTTGGATCCTGGTGCCCCTCCTCTCCCGCGCACGAAAGAAGACAAAGCTTCGTGGAAAGACTTTACCAGGCCCCCGCGTGCCTGAGACGTAGGACTTGGGCTTGAATGCGGCCACGCAGGCCCCACGACGCTCTCCCTAAGCGAGGATCGAAGGGCTGTGGCCAAGAGAGGATCCGTGAGTCTCTGCTTTGGCAGCGGCTTTGGTAACTTGATTGAGGAGAGCAGAGAAATGAGGGCTTGTGAACAGAATGGAAATGAAAAACGTTCGCTCAAGGGAATGCACGCGGCGGAAGGCAGGACACAGCCTTTCCAGGGTCTTCCTCGGCCTCTCTCTCAGAGCCCAGGAGCCGCAAGATGTGCGTGACGCTGATCTCCGCTACCAAGAGAAGCAGCGCGAACTCAACACGCCCCAAATGTCTCAGGGCGTCTTCCCTTTGTTTAACAGCTTTTAACGTAAAGGATATTGTACGAGAGTCGCGATTCTGACTTTATCAGAAGGCCTCAGAAATAGTGAATCTCGCCGCCCCCACTACCCTCCCCCCGCTATCGTGAAGATTCCCGGAGGGGTTGGGGGTGGGGAGGAGATGATCGATTTGAGGCCTGCAGACTCGAGGCCCCAGCAGGCGATGCCTTCTTTCCGCCTTGAATTTGGAAAGCTCAGATTGCTTAGCTGGAAACTGTACTTGCGTCCCACGCACACGTCGATTCCGGTCATACGGAAGCAGCAAACCCTTCCACGCCTCCGCGGGCCAAGGTCACCAAATGACCCGATCAGCTGACCCTATCAGCTGTCAATCCTGCCTGCTGATTCTAGTAGTTCTCCCTCGGCCCCCTCCAAGAAGTTTCCATTCGTTTTATTTATTTTTTTTTCCGCAGCCCAGGTCCTCGGTGATAGGCTCCTGCATGGATTTTAATTGCCTCCATCAGCAGTCTTTCTCCCAGCCGTCACTCAGATCCTTGACGGTGGGTTCGGTGACCGCGCTCCCCGAAGCACGGGAATGACGCGCTCCCGACCACCGCGCGCCTCAGTAGGAAGGCGTCAGGCTCCACTCAAGAGCTGAAATGAGCCTTTCAGTGCGTAGGCGCCCTCCCCCCACCGTCCCCTCCCCAAGCTCACGAACCGCTCGTGATTCCAGCCCAGCCGCCGGGACTCTCGAGGTCACAGCGACCTCAGCACCGTCTTGGAGGAAGGCGGCGCGGAAATCGCGCCTCCTTCCCGGCAGCAGGAGCCAGACCTCAAACAATACGCCAATCGATGCCTGTGTGTGACTCGGTTCGGCCACCGGCTCCGCCTCGCCAAGGTCTGTCTGGTCTACCCCTCGCTGAAGCCGCGCGCAGTCGGCCGCGTTAGCACTCTGGACAGCGCTCCCGAGCCCGCGGGGGCTGTCTGCAGGCTCGCGGCTAGCGCTCCCCAGGGGCTCCCCTGCACGCCTCCCACCCACACGCTCTGACTCCAGCTCGTGAGCACGTCTGCCTCGCATCCTCCCGCTCCCATTTTTTTTTTTCCTCTCCGCCGCCCCCTCATCCATCCGGATTGGACTCCTTCCCCTTCAAAAGCAGTTCGGGCGCTCGGCGCTTTCCCATATCCCTGCGGCGCGGACCCTTCGGTCTCCCTCCCTATCTAACCTCAGCCACGTCTCTAAGCCCTAACCCCAGCACACATACACGCACTAACACGCAGACACGCACGTTTCCTGTCCCTGTGTGACACCCACCCTCTGCCGCACGGCCGCGCGGGTCCCCACACGGTACCCTCCTCCCGCCACACTCACGCACGCGCGCGCAGAGCCGAGCCGAGCCGAGGGCAACTCGCCGACAGTTCGCACTCGGAGGCGACCCGCTCCAGTCGCACAGCGCTGATGGCATCTCCGGGCTCCGGCTTTTGGTCCTTCGGGTCTGAAGATGGCTCCGGGGATCCCGAGAACCCCGGCACAGGTAGGGGAACAAGGATCTGCTCCAGGAGAGCTTTGCGGGTGGACTGGGGTTTGCAGTGCTAGGGAAGACGAAGGAGGTTTTTCCATCTGCAACAGGAAACTTCGGACACTTCGCCCTGCCCTCGCTGTAGGTCCCTGATGTCCCAAGAGACCAAAACCCCACATGCCCTTATCTCTTGGGAAAGACGCCCAAGAATCTCAGACTCCTTTCAGTGAAGTTTGGGAGAGCCCCCCAAACACAGAGGCGTCTCCTCGAAACCGAATTCCGTGGGCCTGGGGCACTCCCACCATCTTGGTGTCTGGACCCTGTAGAGGGATAGAGTGGCTGTGGGAAACGGGGGAAAATGGGAGAGAATTCTTGGTCTGGAAGGAGAGCCTGCGAGGAAAATGGACAGCTTCGATATCTAGGAAAACTCGCAAGGCAGGAAGGGGGGTTTGCCTGAACGTTCCTATTGGCACCTGGAAGGCAAGTGCAAAGGGCTGGAGTCTGGGTTTCTCTTGAAAACAAATCAGCGAACGTAAGGTCGGGCTGGGCCGGGCCGCCTGGCTGCCGCGCGCCTCCTGCACCTGTCCTCTGTGCGGAGCTCCCGGCGGCCCTTTTCCCCACCCCGGGTTTAGTGCGTTTGTTCCCGTAGAACGAAATTTCACACGTCTGCCATTCTCTTTCTGCCTCGCTGTCCTCCTACCTGTCTTTCCCTGCAGCGAGAGCCTGGTGTCAGGTGGCTCAGAAGTTCACAGGCGGCATCGGAAACAAGCTGTGCGGTGAGTGCCCTGCTCATGAGGGGGGGAGGGAATCGAACACGGCCAGTCAGTCGCCTCTGGGTCCCGCGGGGCAATGTCACCTTCTCACCTCCGCATCCCCAACAGCGGAGCTGAGGTTTCTTGGCCAAGGATAGGCAGGGGCGAGGGACCCGGGGTCGGCAGCCGGCTGACCAGCGCTCTCGTTGTGTTTGCCTAGCCCTGCTCTACGGAGACGCCGAGAAGCCCTCGGAGAGTGGCGGGAGCCAGCCCCCGCGGGCCCCCTCCCGGAAGGCCGCCTGCGCTTGTAATCAGAAGCCTTGCAGCTGCCCCAAAGCGGATGTCAACTATGCGTTTCTACATGCAACAGGTAAATGCGCTTCGTGAGGTCCCCGGGAACCACTGTCCCTCGCACAGCCCCACCCACCGCGACGAAAAGGGACCCAGTGCCAGGGCCCTGACCCAAGTCGTCGAGAATCAGGGCGGAGGCGGGCGGACCTTGGGTGAATCTTCAGCTGTAAGCGAGAAACACTGTGCCTGTCCCTTCATCTGAGCCCCAACCCCGGCCTATGCGCAGCGTTGGGCGCGGGCGTTCCAAGGGGACTCCAGGGCCTCGGCGCTCTAGTCCCAGAGCCGCCCTTGGGTTTGCGTTTAGCGCAGGTCCCCGCGCGCGCTGAACCTCGAGGTCGGCTTCTTGGTGGCCGCTGAAACGAATAGGACTTGGTTGCTGAGACGTTCTAGGTCTTTAGATCAAAAGAGTAATTCATAGATGCAGTTTCACGGGGAAACTATTACATTCACATGAGACCTGTACGGGGTTTTACTCCCCTGTGTTTACACACCCAGTCACATAAATGAGCGCGCTAGCGCGCGCACACACACACATACACACACACAGACTTGGGAAATGGCGAGCCATCTTAATGGGTCAGAGATCCTAACATTGCATGCTCCACTTTACCTGAGTTGCCCAAAGGCAATCCTCAAACATTTCTGATGTGACGTATTTCCATAATCGTTTAAGATGATTTACTGAGATATAACATTTGGAAGGACCCCTGTGAAACAGATGAATGGAGGCATAGTCTTTTTAAAAAGAAAGCAAACAACACGTTGTGGATTGAAATGCAAGAACTAATTTGGGGTGGGGGGAGAAACCGCAATTTCTCTTTTTCCTTCATCTTTGAAAAATACCTCCCCTTTAAAGAAAACACTCTGCGTTTCCAGATTTTTAAAGCACAACATCTCTCAATCCAAAGAGAAATTGCCGAATCAAGATCTTGCCTGGATATTTTCACGGTAAAATTAAAATGTGGCATTTTTTATTCCATTCTTTAGACCTGCTGCCAGCATGTGATGGAGAAAGGCCCACTTTGGCGTTTCTGCAAGACGTTATGGACATTTTGCTTCAGTATGTGGTGAAAAGTTTCGATAGATCAACCAAAGTGATTGATTTCCATTACCCTAATGAGCTCCTTCAAGAGTATAACTGGGAATTGGCAGACCAACCACAAAATTTGGAGGAAATTTTGATGCATTGCCAAACGACTCTAAAATATGCAATTAAAACAGGTATTGTCCAGTCAAAAATAATAAAGCTCCTTTTTTCCTTTTACAATTTTTATTTTCTATAAAAATGTTTTCTGTTTTGGGGTTACTGGTATTTTCACATTTACAGAGTTATTTTCATCAATTAAAAAAGTCATTATTAGAATGCTATAAAGCAAAGGCACCCTTTACTATTGATGTTTTTGAAGTTGATAATATCAGAAACATTATAAATGTATCAAGTATAAATCATCAGATTTTACATTGCATGCATTTGGCCGTGGAGATTAATCACTGATGTAGAAGCAACCATTTGTCAGCAGAGGCCAGTAGAAGTGACCCAAAATGGAGACAGAAAGGGAGTATAGAAATGAAAGCGCAAAAGGCATGATCCAAACAGAAGCCCAATACTAGTGTAGTGCTAGTCATTTCCACGGAGTAGGAATGGTCAGACATTGGACAAACCATTCTATGTAATTATCGCTACAGAGAGACAATAATTTGGCATTGTCTCAAATGGCCAGGACCTCAGATTCAAACCCCAGGTTTTCTCCTTTTTTAAAAGAAATGTCCACAAAAGAAAACACAATACAAACTAGCTTAACTATTCAACCGTGTTATATACAAGGATGTGTGTGTGCTTCGTAGCCATTCTGAATATAAAATGAAGAAAATGGGTGGGGGAGGGGAATCAAGTATCCTTATCCTTATTTTAAAATGTATTTTGTATTTATTGCTTTTTTTTTCACAGTAGTCTTCATACACTATTCATTTTGCAGCCCCAGGTGTAACATTTATTTGGGCACATTCTAAGCTTTCATTTTATCTACGCAAAAATCAGCTGTTTGTCTCCCCAGATCACGACTACCCCTTCTTTTCCTGCCTTGTCTCTAACCATGCTGATGCATGATATCACTACACTTCCTTAAAGCAATAAAACTAAGTATGAATGAATACCACAAGGGATAGAATACCTTGTGGCTCTAAATTGATTTGTAGCCTTAAAAAAGATCCGCTGGCAAATAAAAATGTCACATGAATATTAATTACCATAGGAACTTGATCTTTTTATGTTGCCATTTCTTTGGTTAATGAATTATCATATTGCTCTCATCAACAACAAGCATTTTACGGATGTTTGCTGTGTGACATTTAGCTACTTTTTGGGGTTTTGTTTTTCCATTTGTTATACCAACAGAGAGGAAAAGTATGCAAAGAAGCAGCCTAGGGAAATCGATCTGCTGCATTATTAGTATCCGCTTCTGTGGGACTATAGACTTAGAACTAGGTACATAGGGAAAGGAGTTGAACTTGGTGATTTTGATCACACTTGGTCTGTGGAGTATGAATTTTGAAGGCTTATTAGTTATCATTCTCAATTATGTTCACAGAGAATCCACACGATGTATATACAAGGCATTACAGATGTTCTTCCTCCCAGCTTTTGATGTATGTGTGGGTGCAAACCTGAACAGTGCCTTTAATTCATTTTTGTTTGACCCATTCCCCTACCCTAATATTTCAATATGATAATAGTAGGTTGCTACCTATTATTTTTATTGCTACCAAACTGAAAAGAACCTATAAAAATGTTTTACATCTTCATCCTTAAAAGCTGGTGATGTCTGACGTGTAATTTAAAGAGTTAAGATAATGGGAATTGCAAGTCAATGAAAGTCATAGTTCTGTCCGTCAATGCTTCATTTAGCATCAGGAGAAGATGGGACCATTCAGTTCTTAGATTTTGCCATAATCCTTGTGAAACTGTTGGTCAAATGTAGTTCTGATGCATTTTATTTGAAGTTCAGAGGAAAATGGGATGAAGTTGGATTTCTAAGCATCAATATCAATATTATTCATAACATATGTAGTCTTCTGGTCTTCCCTGTTCCACCCCCAAATAGCAGTTCAAAGAATTAACACCGTCCACCTCTTTCTGACTGGCAAGTTTACAGGTTTTTATGCTATAACTAGTATTTGACCACTAGCCCTATTTAGGGTCTGTAAAGTTGTTACCATCTCTGTGACCATTAGGCATTTTAGTTCTCCTCAGGAGATGTTTTTATAAAATACATTAGCACCTGCTTTCTACCAAGGAGTCCGTAATCTAATTTCCATTTGGGCTCCAAGCTCAGAGAGGAGTGAAGGGCAGTGGGGAAGATACTTGCAAACGACAGTCTTCATGTATTGTTAAAATTACATCTGTAAGAACTGTTGGAACAGAAAACTGAAAACTGCAGAGAATGATAGAATTCTGGAATAATTAACATTTTCGGGGCCCATTGGACTTGGTAGTGGTAGTGGTAGGGGGGTTGGAGCGCAGGGGTTAATGTCTTGAGTCTTTTAACGGAGCCATCAGACAAAGAAATGGAAGCATCGATAAATGAGGCCATCCTTGGGTGCGTGCTGCGGGTACCCAGAGAGCAGTTTGGACCGACTCTGTAGACCTCGCCAGCTGATGGTGGACAAGAGGGTCAGGGCCGCCAGGGGCTGGTTGTTGGCCGAGGCCGTGCAGCCTTCGCGGCTCATTTGCTAATCTGTGGGGAGCGTTCCAGAGGCGTGAGCGGCTCTAATCTCACGTTTCCTCCTTGCTGCACCGGTGGGGTGGGGGCGGCGGCGGCGGCGGCAGCTGGATGCCCAGGACGGCTGGGACAGCTGGCAGCCTCCAAAGCAGGTCTCTCACACCCTTTCTCTCGGAGAGCCCTGCCGGGATTCGCCGGCAGCCTGCGGGGAGTCACGGGGAGGGAGCAAATAGAGTATTTCTGTAGCATACTCCTGCAGAAATCAAGAGGACATGTTGTTCTAACCTGTCAAACTATCTCCCTCCATTTTTTTTTTCACATCACCGTCAGTGAACGAAAAATTTGAAGCACGAGAGATTCAGGTGCCTTGGGAGATCGAGTCAAAAAAATAGAGAAGGGAGTCAAGCCATGGAAGCCTCAGACTTACTTCCCAATTTTCCAGTGGCAGGTAGCAGGATGAAATGGCCTTTTGATATCCTGGGGCTGGACACATACCTTGGAATTTATCTCTCTCTCTCTCTCTCTCTCTCTCTCTTTTTGCAGAGGTTTTCATGCCAAAGTTTCCAGAGTGTTAAATAGTGTGTGATAATAGATGCCACATTCATCCAGAAAATGCATATGAATTGGGAGAGTAGATTAATGGATTGATTTGCTAATCTTTATTAATTTCCTGCTTTAAAGATATGGCTTAGGGAAAGAGAAATGAAGGGGCATCGGGAGGGAGAAGCGGCTGTGATTTCAGCTGTGAGCTCTAATGAAATGGGGAGTCAATGAGGCAGAGACAGGGGAGAGCTGTTCCAGACCATGGCCCCCGGGCGGCAGCTTTCTCACTTTCCCTGGATACATAAACTGACAGGGTCAGCATCAGAGGGCCTGGTAAAGAGCGAAAAGGTAGAAGGGCACTGTGCACAGCCACGGGGAGGCAAAACAAAGCCCGAGAGTGAGTGAGAGCCACACAAATCCCAGTCTCTTTGAAATGCGCCCTTTTCCAGCTCCTATCTTTTCTCCGTGTCTAATTGTTTAGCCACATGCCGGAGGCTGATAAGAGCACTCCAGTCCTACAGATAAGCTCTGTATTGACTTTTGTCCCTGCTTTCCCCATTGCTTTCCTTTATCTTGTTCCGCCCATGCTGGCCCGAGAGACCGTCATCCCCGGGCTTCACACAGGTGTCCGTAAGTGGAGGCCGCCTTCTTATCAGATGCTATTTCCATAATTGATCATCTTCTAAAATTTTTTCTGCCAAGCAAATCACAGATTTAGAGATAGGCTTTTATGGGGCAAGACAAGGAATGGAATTCTAATGAGGTATTTACAATCACATTTAAAATAATAGCCTCAGGAGTATCTGGATGTCAACTCCTTTAGAGAGTTTCAGAGAAATCTAGAAGTTAATTAGATAAGCCTTGCTAATGGACTCATCAGCCCATTGAATATATCTTCATGTATCTTGTTGACAAGGCAGTGATGTTGACTGTATCCCGCTTTATTTTAAATCACAACTGTGAAGGAGTTCTGTTGTTTGTAATCAAATATTTGGACCGAAAAGAATCAACAAGAATTAGATTTGCCCATGCCCTCTATAGGCAACCATCACCTTTTGAATCCAGGACAAATCACTCAACAGAGTGTCCTATTTTCCCATTTTTGCCTTGTCTTTTGTAATCATCAGTCATTTGTCACTGATATCATTACGAATATTGGCATGCCTGGCGGATGTCATGCTATGACTGATTCCCAGAACAACTTCAACAAAAAAGGACTTTTAGCAGCACGAGCGTAAGCAAGAATAGCTTTGGATTACATGAGCATTTTTAGTTTGCAACTGTATTGAAGGGATGCTAGGAAATAAACTAGCATACACATTGCAAACCCCACTTGTTATTTTTTTTTTTTAATAGGATAATGTTTAGGGGAAGTTTTTTTAAGAGTGTGTTTTAAGAAATACCAAAACCCAAAATAGTCCCTCTTGTTAGATGAAATGCTCCTTTTGGGTGCGCCTGTGTGAACGCACCTACACACACACACACACACACACGCGCGCGCACGCACATGATGGATTTCTGAATATGGATTTCCTATTACTGAAGGATATTTCAAAGTTCTTTAGCTAGAGTGATCCTGTGTTTGAGAGGCATTTAGTTTCACTGGATGCAGCCCTGATTCTGGTTTTCCATTATATTCAGGGCATCCCAGATATTTCAATCAACTTTCCACTGGACTGGATATGGTTGGATTAGCAGCAGACTGGTTGACATCAACAGCAAACACGAACATGTAAGTCGTTAAATGTGGGGTTGTTTTTTTTTTTAATCCAGGATCATTATTAGTGAGATTTTGTGGTCTTTATTCTACTTCTCATGTGAAAATCTCTTTTTAATTAGGTAGCCTCTAACATAGTGATACAAACTTCAGAAGTATATGGGTGTTCACTTTAACTTAAAAGAGTCCTGATGTATCTTTCATGCAATCAAAGTTATATAACATTTTTCAAACACAAAAGGCACTTTCTTTGGCATTTTGGATTTATAATTATGTATAATGCGAACAAGAAACGGGACCAGATGATGTCTTTTAAGTAGTATTACTCTGTAATGTTCTTTATTTATTCAATATGATAAATGACCCTTGAGCATTAAGCTCTTGACTTTAGGAATATAGAAAAATGGGCAACCTTTAAGAAGACATAATTTTCTCTCTGTTCAATGTTATAATCAAAACCTTTGTGAATGTAGAGTTTGAAAAGGGATGTACAGTAGTTCTATAGATGTTGTAACAATGAAGTATTTCTTCGAGTTATATACATACATAAAATGTGGCCATTACTACATTTCAGGTTCACCTATGAAATTGCTCCAGTCTTTGTGCTCTTGGAATATGTCACGCTAAAGAAAATGAGAGAAATCATTGGCTGGCCAGGGGGCTCTGGCGACGGGATATTTTCTCCTGGTATATGATATTTCAACCTTTCTTTGTATTTTTTCTTCTGATATGCAGTGCCTCATTATGAACACAGGAGCGACTAAATACCTAGTCTGTATTTCTGCTTATGTTAAATAGGTTATGTTGATCAAAAGCATGAGTGTGATAATTCATGACCATTGACCATGCTTCCAAGCCAACTCCCCATGCTTGAGCAATAGTTATTTGTGTTCAGAAAGAGGATAAACAGGTGGAAATTTACCCAGTCTTTCTACTGTGATCCTATCTAGAAGATGTGTGGATCATGAAGAACAGAAGAATAAAGATTCCTCATAAGGGAATTCACTCTCTGAAACTCTTCCCACAATTAGTGAAAGGGTAGCCTCATTTAATAAAGCCTTCTCTGTTTCGGGATGCATTATGAGGCACAGCTATGTAATAGAGCGTAGGTACTCTGTCCCTTTCAAGTAACAACCAGAGAAGCTGATTTACATCAATTTCAAGGAGGGCAGACAGTGACTTGGGAAACCATTTCTTAAAGCTGAAAAAGAGGGTGTTGATTCCTTCCAGAGGCTTCTCTCGCCTTCCCTTCCTGCATCCTGCTTTTTATCACCAGCCACTGGATTCTAAACTCCATTGTTCACACCTCTTGCAGCCAAGAGAATCAAACCTGACACAAAAAAGCCTTGCCCTTGGTTCCGGATCTGTATGTGACCTTGGTTTTGACGCAGAGAAGAAATAGAAGTTAGAAAGGTGGTTGGGAGGGAGAGTCACTGACCCGTGGAAAATAAACCTGGTGCGCAGACCATCACCTAATCAGTGGCAGGAGAGGGTCATCAGAATGGGGCCGGCGCTCCGTGCATGGAGACTGGCCCTGTTGGGGAGGCCACAGCCACTCCTGCCATTATGTTAGCAAGGGCCATGTCAGGATGTCCCTTCCACAAACCCACAGAGACAAGTGGATGATGAGGGAGAGAGAAAAATAAAGAACAGGTTGAAAGAAGAAATGATAGGCAGGCAACAGTGGCCTCAAGGGTAGGGCTTAAATTAAGCAGCCTTACCTACAAGCTTAGATCTGCTATTATATTTTATGCTTTTAAAGATACAACACCATTTTTCAGGTGCTGAAGGAAAACATGTTAGTTAAATGGAAGGGAAAATTAGCCTTTTTTTTTTTTCCATTAAACACCAGCTGTGATGAATTTAAAGCTAGCCTTTATTTTGTAAGGGAACTCAGTTCTCCTTTGGAAAACCATTCCCCATGGAGGGAACTTTGTCATCATTGTCTGGAACTGAGGCTCTTAAGGTATTTTTCATGAGGAATTAGGTAGTGTTCAAAGACCAGCATTGTTTCTATTCTATTCTTCCTCTTACAAGGTTGGTTATGTGATTGAGCATCCTGAGCTCTCTTTAGTGGTTCCCAGGAGAGACAAGAGAACAGCTGCTCCTGCCAACCCTGAAAGCTTGGCTAAGGGGGCTTGGGCCAGGCCTAATTTAGCTGTTCTTGGAACCCTCTTGCCCCAGAAAATATACACCCAGAGAAAGAACCCTCTTTGGCAGTTCTGCTAAGTATGGATGCCCCCATCAATGACAGAAGATGATCATGTGGAAAGACTTAACCTTGATCATGGGGCTTCTTCCTTGGAGCCTAAAGATCCATATCCTCTCATGTCAAGATGGAAGCCACTGACGTCATGCTAAGTATAATGTAGACATTGCAAAGTGGGGAGGGGACAGAAGAAAAGGCCATTGGCAACCTGTTTCTGCATTACATATACCTCTGCATTACAGAGGAGAGATGGATTATAGCAACCTCGCTTGCAAATGGATGCCTTTCCAGGTAGTCTCCAGCCTTACTCCTAGGATATAGGGTCTTCCAATTTAAGGAGTCGGGATAGGGGAAATCATACCTCGTATGTGCCTGAGATCTGAAAGTCCCATTGCCTGGGACTAAACACAGAGATTTAGGTCTGTGACTTGAATACATAGCTCAGCTCATTTTACTTTAAACCTCCGTCTATAACATCCAGAGGCTTCATGGAAAGTTCTCTGGAACTTCTAGAAGAAATCTGTTTATGTGATGTCACCTATGCCTGGGAGCTGAAGACTACTGGAGTATTCCTCACTACTCAGTAAGTCATGAAGGACCAAAGGAGAAGAAAAGGATATGTTGGCTTAGTCACAAACTTTTCCCTGTCTAACGGGATTTTCCTGACGATTCAGAGCTTGTTTATTCCATCCTTCCTCTCAAGATTCATCTGTCCTCCTGCCTGGGTGACACAAAGCAGTCTGCTCTAACGATCCAGAATCTTCTTCATGTCTCTCAGGGCTCCTGGATCTTTAGACAGAGAATAATTGGAGTGAGGAGACAAAATGAGGAGTGGCAAGGTAGAGCTGGAAGGTTCTTGAATAACTGTGCTATGTGACGTGTTTTCTTTGTGTTCATCTTCCCCTTTTTCTCCTGCCTCCTTTCTCCCCAGCCTCTCTCACAAGAACAACAGGGGCAGTGCTTCTCTGTTGGGGCTCTTGTACCCCTAGGGGACATTTGGCCTTGAATGGAGAAGTTCTCAATTGTCACAGCTGGGCGGGGGTGCGGGTGAGGCAGGTAGTACTAGCAGCCTCTAATGGATAACAGTCGGGGATGCTGTTAAACACCCTGCAGTGCACAGAACAGTACACACCCCCGCTCCCCGCCACCCAACAAGCCGTTCTCATGCCCAAACTGAAAAACCATAGGATGGAATGGAATTTCCTTTAAAAGCTGGTCCCTTTCCCAGCAGCATCCTACAACCTCAGCCCTTGTAGACAAGGTGTCTGCTCAAAGCACGCCTGGATTCTGCTTGCCGCATGTCTCTGGGGTTCAGAAGACGTAGAAATTGCCCTTATTCTGACTGAAGACAGAGCCAGGGCCAGGCTGCCTTCTTGCTTCAGGACCCAGGGTGCATGAGGCAAAAGTCATGGCCCTATGTGAGCCATTCAGTTTGGTACAAAGAGCTCTCTGCTCCTCAGCCACCCAAAGGGAAGGGAACTCAAAGCCCAGTGTGTCCCCTATGGGAAAGGAGGAGATAGTGGCCTCACTCTGCCTCATGATGTCCCTGTTTCCATGTCATCATTTCCATTTGCATGCACAACAACCTGTCTCCATCTTATGTTGCAAAAATTCTAAACTTTCCAACAATCTTGGGGGAAAGCTCACTTTTCTTTGCTGGAGACCTTACTTATAAGATACAAATGTTATGGTGTGAAATCCTTGACAATCTTAGGATGACACAGGAAAGGCAATTCAACATAGACTTAAAATTCCCTTAGTTTTGTGTTTTCTTATCATTATGAAATAAGATTTTGTTCAGCTATTACAATTATATTTCTGTGATGTCTTTGAGTGGAAAGAATTTCTGGGGAAATGCACAGATGAGTCTGATGAAATGGGCTTGGATGTTTATCCTCATTCTATGAGAATTGTGGATTAACAGTCCACACCATTAGCTACAACAGACTTATCTTTGTGCAAGTACAAGACATTGCCTGAGTTGAAATGAAAAGAAATGTTTTCTCCATCAGGATAAAAATAAGATTTCCACAGGCCTAATGAAGAATGACCACGTTTACATGGTGCGAAGGAAGGCAACAATTTCTCAGTTCTAAAGAACCTCTTCAGAGGAGTCCCAGCAAAAGCAGAATCAATTGGCAGTTCTGTTCAGTTGGGATACAAAGGGGTGGCATGTGTCCTATGGTTTGGCCCGATGCTCCCTTCTCTTGACCCTCCTAGCCTGAGGATTCAGTCTGAGTTTGAGGATTCAGTTCAAAGAATAACCAATAAATATGGCCTTTCCCTGTGTCCAAGGAGGAGTCTAGGTCAATGGAAATAAAGAATGGTTCTTGCATGTGAAATGATGTTGGTAAGGACTACAAAAGGTCACTGTGTGTTGCTATTACTTCCTTTAGGTGGCGCTATATCTAACATGTATGCCATGCTGATTGCACGGTTTAAGATGTTCCCAGAAGTCAAGGAGAAAGGAATGGCTGCTGTTCCCAGGCTCATTGCCTTCACATCAGAGCATGTACGTTGTTTCTGTTATTTCCAAGTTTAAAGTTACAGTCTGTAAAGCCCAAGTGGAAAGAGTCATATTTGGAAATGCTTTATCCCCAGTGAGTAGATACTTCTTGGGAGAGAATGAGGGGAGAGATCAGTTGAGTGGCACAATGGGGTGAACCCCTTTCTCTTTGAAATGTAGGAAAACCCTCAAAGAGAAAGCAGGATGTTTTACTCCTAGTTTCTACACATCATTTTTCTGTAATAATGTTGTGGGGGGTGGGGGAAGGAAGAGAGGAGAAGCCAGAGTGACTATGAACTCATTTGGACGACTGAGGCCATGATTACATAACTCAAATCTCCGGAGTGTCCCACTGATAACAATCTTTCTGTATGAAAATTCTGACCAGATGTTCTATCTTAATGGTGACTTGCACCATTTAATGCTTATCTTTGGCGGACTTAACCAGAGGATTCACCACTCTGGAGAAATGGCCTAGCGGTCCTATCTGTCATATCTGATCTTCGGGTCAGTTCTGTCTCAGCCCATTACAGCCTCCTGTGTCCTGCTAGGCTGCTGGCCAGGCAGGATGCTGAGAGCTGGGACTTCCTAGCTGAGTGCCACAGCATAGTACTTCATATTCTTTCCATGGCTTTCAAAGAGTTAAAGCCGTTCTCCCTACCTCTGAGGACACATTGAATAAAGTGGCCCACCCTGTTCACAACCTAGATGGCTTCCCTCTGCTAGGCCTCCAGCTTTCCTTCCTTTGCAGAGATAAAACCACACACGAGCTCAAAGTTATGCTTTGTAGCTGTTTGAGCAACATCTTGGCTCCAAATTCTCCCAACACACAGCCCTGCAGTAAACCAGAGGCTGTTCTTGTCAGGCGTTAGTAAGCATTACCTGCTGTGGAATTCCTGAGATTTTTCCTTCACAACCTCTGCCTCAGAGTAGCCTAGGGTCTGGGAAAGAGTTGCCTCAGAGAAGATCAAAAAGCCCTCTGATGGTGGGGGAAATGGGAGATGGGGAAGGTATAGGGGTCTATAGGGAAATGAGAGATTCCTGTAAAGAGACATCAGTTGGAGAGGCAGGGAGTTATAGTGGGAGTCAAGGCAGATCTCCATACAACTTTAATTTTTCTGCTTTAAGTGATGTGTGTGTGTGTGTGTGTGTGTGTGTGTGTGTGTGTCCATAACAAGGGAGCAAAGGGCAAGTACAAACTAGAAACCAGTGAATACAATTCACAACCATAGCAGTAGCCATTGATTCAAAGAAACTAGTGATTTATGTTAACAAATTATCGTCAGCATTCTGTTTTTGGTCATGTTTTATCATTTTCTTGTTTTGTTCCTTTGTCCTTCCTCAACTTACAGAGGTCAAATTTAGCAGAGACATTCACAGCCTGAAATTACCTGCCTTTGCTTTCCTATTTGCTACTTTCCTATTGCTACTTAAAAAATTACCACAAACTTAATGGAGTAAGCCAACATAAATTTATTATCTTATAGTTTTGGAAGTCAGAAATCTATAATAGGTCAGGCAACGCTCTGTTCCTTTGGAGACAGTAGGGGAGAATCCATGTCCTTGTTTTTTCTACCTTCTAGAGGCCACCTGCCTGCCTTGGTTCATAGCCCCTTCTTCCAATTCAAAACCAGTAGCTGAACATCTTCAAATCTCTCTCTCCCAGACCTCTGCTTCCGTCACCACATCTTCTCTGGTTCTGACTCTCTTCCCTACCCCTATCACAAAGATCTTTGTGATGACATTGGGTCCATCCACATAACCTAGGACAATCTCCCAACCCAAGACCCTTAGCTTAATCACATCTTCAAAGTCCCTTTTGCCATGTAAGGTAAAATATTCTTAGGTTTCAAGGATTAGGATGTGAACATCTTTGCAGAAAGAGCATTGTTCAACCTATTAAGCCAGTATCTCACAATGAGATAATTTTCATTTTTCAGCTTCTCGGGAGAGAAAACCATGATATATTTTTTCCAGTTACTATTTCCCTATACTATTGTACCTCTAAATAGTTAAATGTTACTCTATTCTCAGTCTCAAAAAGCTCAGATGATCTTATACTGAGCATCTTCTTTTTGCTTCCATGCTGTTTGCATAACCCGAAATGAGCTTGGTCAACCAGAAAGCTGCCCTGTGCTCTCTAGTTTCGTGTGAATTTCTTGGCTCAAGCTTCATGGAAATTGACTTAACCTTGCTCACAAAGCCCAGGTCATGTGGTTTGAGAATAATTCTATGCTATGCCTCTGTTTCTTGCTACAGCAAACTAAGAGGCTAATTCTTGACTTCTAAGTGAAAGAAAGGTGATTCAGCTGTACAACAGCCATTCCATTCTTCCTCCTCCTTCTTGTACCTTTATCCATGCACATAATTATGAAAGAACATTTGAATTATGAACCTTTCCTAAAATACCAATTGGTTCTAACTCTATACCTATTTTTTTAAAGATTTTATTTATTTGACAGAGAGAGAGAGATCACAAGCAGGCAGAGAGGCAGGCAGATGGGGAGGGGGAAGCAGTCTCCCCACAGAGCAGAGAGCCTGATGTGGGGCTCGATCCCAGGACCCTGAGATCATGACCTGAGCTGAAGGCAGAGGTTTAACCCACAGAGCCACCCAGGCGCCCCTCTATACCTATTTTTTGACAGATGAACTCTTTTTCTAATTTATGATATCCTAATTTATGATATCTAATTTATGATACCTGATATCCTATAACTATTTGACTATTTCCACCACACTTCCAATATACATTAGCTCATTTGATTCTCACGACATTCTTGTAGGACAGGCAGAGCAGAGGTTATTATTAGCATTTTTTGAATGAAGAGGCCGCAGGTAGAGCCGGGATTAAATAGTTTTCCTGACTCCCAGGCCAGTGAGGTCCATGCCCCAACTACCTATGTAGAAATCAAATCAAAAGATTCAGTGACAACATCTTGTATGCCACAGCACATCAATTAATTTGACATTTTATACCTTCCCAAGTAAAATTTCCACCAAGATCTTTTCTTGTACTGTGACTGTGTTGCTAAATTATTACTCTCCACACTAAAAATAAAACAAAACAACAACAACAAAACTTTACTTATTATCTCACAGGGCTGGACTGGAGGGGACAGTTAGAGCTCATTTAAAGCACTGCTATGTCTCATTGAACACTTGATCTAAACCATTCTGGACAGATGAACCCTTGAAGTAGCCTTGCTCATGAAGATTTGGGTTAAGAGGTAACATGATCTCTATATCTAGGTTCTTCTGGGTTCTAGACCTCAGGGTCATTCCATTCCATTCCATTCATCACTTAGTATAATTGCTTCCAGCTTCAGGCCTGCCATAAATTCCTTAATTTTTCCAAGTTTTACAATTACCTTGACTCCACCAGCCCCGAAAATAGATCTTCACAAGCTGAAAAAGATTATCAAGTCATGTAATTCCTTTTCTCCAGGCCAGACAATTTCCATCTTTGCATGGTGGTTTCATTCCTGAGTCCTTGACCTGCAAGGAGAAACAGTAGTGGGAAAGCTGCTTTGGGATCCAGTGGAGGGAAGGAAGACCAAAGGCTATGGCAGAAGCTGCTTCAAGTATTATCTCTCTCCAAGCTCTTTGAGAGTTTCCAAGGCCCAATACTTTTGAGAATCAAATGAGAGTCTCTTATAAAACAACTCACCTCAGCTCCTGGGATGTAGGAAACGCTACATAAATATTAAGTAAAATTTTTTAAACCCCACAACCTTACTTATAGATGAGGAACCCAAATCCCAGAGGTGGGAGATGCTTTGCCCAGGGTTTTTAGCTAGTCAGTGGCAGAGTCAAACCTTGAGCCTGTTTCCTGACAATCCCAACACTGTTCTTTCAACTACTGGGTTGGGTGACCTCTACACCACTCTAGCTGGCTGCTCTAAATTCACGTGTAGCATCCTTGCTAAAACCTTATTTTCCACATGTTGGTTATTCTAGTGCTAATTTAATTTCCTGATCTATTGAGCCAGGTCAAGTTACTGTCCTTTCTTCTAGTCTGAGCAGTGAGTTTAAAACTTGGCATGTGTATAGAGCCATAGGGATGGAAATGACATTGAGAAACATCACACACTGAGGAAGGGAAGGGTCATCTTTTGTTTACTAAATGGCCTTCACCGTCTCTGTTGTACCCCAAAAGCTACCGATCCCTTTTCTGGACACCAACTCAGACAAGAAGTTTCTCTTTGTTGATAAGGAGGTCGAGCTATTACATTTTTCTGTTTGTTCAAATCCAATTGTTCTCTGGAAATTTTGAGTAGGACTAAATTAAACAAATAGTATTGCTATGAAGAACATTAGAAGAAGTAAATATGGGGCGCCTGGGTGGCCCAGTGGGTTAAGGCCTCTGCCTTCGGCTCAGGTCATGATCTCAGGGTCCTGGGATCGAGTCCCGCATCAGGCTTTCTGCTCAGCAGGGAGCCTGTTCCCCCTCTCTCTCTGCCTGTCTCTCTGCCTACTTGTGATCTCTCTCTGTCAAATAAATAAATAAAATCTTTAAAAAAATTTTTTTAAATTTTTAAAAGAAGAAGTAAATATTATCACTGAGTTGAAACAAGAGATAGCACTCTGAGTAAAGAATTTTAAGATTATTTTCCTCCCCAATATGGAATCACAAAAAATCAGAATTGGAAAGGATCTTAAAGATTGTCTGATTCCATACTCGTTCTTTGCTGGAATCTCATCCTTGTCACCGAATCTTCAGTAATAGAGGATCTTGGCAAAAATTAATCTGATGAGTTTAGAGTCCCTTCTTGAAACTAGGTTTAGAGGGAAGTTAAGACTCTGGATGAATAATTCGCATCTCTGCTTGAATCCTTCGAAAGCCCAAACAAGCTTCATTACAAATTCCTCTTATTTCTTTGTGTGCAACAAGCTCTCCCAGAAATAGCCTCAGTGAAACAGCGTATTTGCATCAAGGAAAAATGTTCTTCATAATCAGGATAGGTAGTGGGATCTTTTAGGCAAATCACCACAACTCACTCCACTCT